CACACCGGGTGTCACACGTCATTTTCCAAAAAAAAAAAATCTAAAAGTAGTCTAATCTATGTGAAACCCCATTCTCATTTCTCTGTACCTAACTTGGCAATTACGAGCATAATTAATGAGGTTTGTTGTGATGAGTAAATAGTTGACCTAAAATAATACAAAGTCTTCATCATACTTTTCACAATTATAAGATAAGTACAATTAAGACAATGTATAAAGGAGAATAATAGAAAATTTTATTTTAGTATCATATTATCATAATTAATATTATTTTACATAAATTTATTTTTTTATACATTCAAACTTTTTATTTTATACCTACATTAATAAATTAAAATTACATTTTAATAAAATCAACTTATAATAATAAATTCAATTATGCGCAAAATTTAAGTGGAAAAAAATTTGCACTAAAAAAATATGTGTAGAAAATATTAAACTTCAAACTAAAAAAATTAAGTTTTTCAAACTTATAACTTAAAGGTACATATCAAAAATATATTTGTTATATTTTTCACTTTTAATTTGTATAAAAAATTAAAAAAGTAAATTTTATTTTCAATATTAATATCACGTGAAATGATTTTATTAAACGGTTAATAAAATTAAAGTTAATTTTTATTTTTTATGTAAATTAATATTGAAAATATGTAATAAATATATTTTTAACCTATGTTCTAAGAATATAAGTTAAAAAATGCTAAAAAATTAAACTAAAAAAAAAAAAAGGGAAAAAAGAAGAAGAAGAAGAGTCAATTTTGTGCTCATATGCACAGGTGTCATTGCGCTGTTTAATTATTTTTGCCTGTTTAAGGGCCAAAAAGATGGCGTTTTAATCGTTTTATCCCTTAAATGGACAAAAAAGGTAATAGAACCGATCACACTGCAGCGAGACTGGCTCTATTCCATTTTTCGCCCTAATAACACCTGAGTTCTGCAGTGTCCATTTTACTTTTAAAAAGAACACGAGAGAGAACCTCTCATTGCACATGCTTAAAGGAAAAGAACCCAACAAAATTGTTGTCCTCGACCGTACGTGGCGCAATGCTAACGTTAAATACTGGTCGGGCATGGTTTTTGCTACATAAATTTGGTTACACAAATTTTTTAAGATTGTCTTTAAAAATAGTAATTTTGTTTAGTTTAAATTTTTTCTTTCTCATTAACTAACAAAATAAAATTTATATTAAATAAGAGTATAATGGTATTCCATCCCATCATGAACATAATTCAAAGTTCCTAACAGCAAACTAATTAAGTCACAAACACATAAATCCAAGCCTATTCACGTTCCTTGATCCTGTACTCGTCTTCCTTTCTTCACAGCTTCCCTGTAATCAGTCACTGCTGTAGAGAACAATCCCACATACATATGGGCTTTGGCACCAATTAATCATGAAAAGTAGAAGTGCATCCCTTAGCTTTATTTTTGAACCAAGTAAAAGATTTCAACTTGTGTCAATACTAGCCACCTATCCTCTTGCTTCTGCACCGCTCCAGAAACCTCTGCATTCCTCCACACCCACATATACCAGCACACCACTAAAAGTATCAAAGCCTGTTACACATCTTTCTCCTTTCTCCCTCCCATACACTATCTGCATGCATAATTCCCTAATTGACTTAGGTAATACAAAAGCCACTCCCCACCACTTGAACACGTCCATCCAGACCTTACTTACTTTCTTACATTTTACCATTACGTGATCTATGCACTCCATCTCTTACAAAAAAATGCACAAAAGAATTCTCAGCACCCAAATTAATCCCTCTTTAAACAAGTTTTCTGTCATTGGCACCCTATTCAACATAAGCCTCCAACCATATATACTAACTTTACTTAGAATAAATCTACACCAAATTAATTATTAAAAACAATTAATAGTTGTAATTATTAATTAATAACTAATATAACAAATAATATTTTCAAATACTATCACCAATTATTTAAACCTAAATAATTGGTTATAGCATTTTTGTACTATAACCCAAAAAAAAAAAAAAAAAAAAAAACCTACATTTGTGCGGTCATAACAATTTTATATGTAAAAATAACCACACCCCTCAAAAACCCTAGTAAAGGAAATTAATGTCAAATAAGCCGGGGGAATTGGAAAACATAAATCAAATTAATTTTTTTTTTTGTTTTTTTTTTTTTTTTTCGAAAATTTTGGCAATATTTGTTGTTTTACAACGAAACTAATATGACAAAAAAAAAAAACAAAAAGGAAAAAGCCAATATTACCCATATTGAACCACGAGACTGGTCCAACATCTTGCATTTACGCTGCGGACAGAAAGACAACCTAATAACAAAAAGGATAGATGCAAATTATGACTACAAAGTAGGTTCGAGTTTTTCTATTATCCCAAATAATTTTAAAAAAG